CATTTGGAAATTAAATAAACATGCCTATAAATTCGTAAATTTTGGGTATAAAAGAAAAGTGAGCAGGGTAGATACAGAAAGACTTCAGTAAATGTAGTATCTTATAGTCGACTTCAGTCTGCGAATGAATACATCTACCTACAATAGTAGTGGATACATTATGAGGACAAAAATTATAGTAAAATGCATAAGGAATGCAATGAATACAAAGCTCCTATGAATTGCCAAAAGAGACCCGTTATGCTTTCAACTTGCTATCCACAAGCAAAGGCGAATGACATGCAATGAATGCGGGCCTCTACAACCCAAGATAGGAGATTAGTTAGTGCACTACAATCTACCTGCATAAATCAGACAAGTAGTGCAAGACAGTGTACTTGTACAAAGCAGCGAACAATCCAATCCAGAAGCTGCTATAATACGCCACCGGATCCGCAACTTCTATGTAAGCGGACAGAATAAGTTTACAAATACTTTACAAATAACACCGCACGTGCACCGTAATTTGTATACATATAGGTACACAAAATGAGGTAAATATATAATACACCCGCATGAGCCCCGACGAGCGTGTTATTGGTACACACGTGACGCCTAGGGATGCTGCGCGGCTCAATAAATTTGAATCCGATCCTCCTAAGCAGATAAATAGGAGTTGACAAGGTTCAACAAGTAATTATAAAAATACTCCCAAACACCAGCAGGGGCCCCGACGAGCGTGTTATTAGTACACACGTGACGTCTAGGGGTGCTGCGCGGGTCGATAAGTGGATTCAAGTTCGAACCCGATCCTTCTATACGGACCAATATGGGTAAACATGATTCGAACCATCAAACAAATACACGGTTGTGGTGACCAATGTATTTATTTTAACACATTCATATTAGGCCTTCAAGGTCTTCAATCAAAAGAATTCACTTACAAAGGTATAAAGCCTATGAAAATTGATCCTCCTAAATAGATAAATAGAAGTCGACAGGGTTTGAATCATAGAACAAATATAAGGTTATGGGAACCAGTATATTTGTTTCAATGCATTCATATTAGTCTTCAAGTCCTTTAACAAAGAAAATTATTAAACAAAGACATGAAGCCTACGAAACTCGGTCCCCTATCAGCAGGTTGATAGGGTCGACAAGGTTTAGACAATGAATGAACCCACACCCCGATAATAACCGTGTTG